ATGTCTGATGCTGAAAGAAAAAGTATTCAATGCCGGTCTTTTCTTGTGCAACAGATGGGAACATACGTTTATTAACAGCCGTCTTTAATCACAAACACATCTTCAACAATTTCCCATCTGCCGCACAAGTCGAATGCTTTTTCTTTCTCTCCTACAAATGGTGTTAAAACCTGGGAAATACATCATATGTTCTAATTTTCAGAGAAACTGAACTTTTGGGCCTTTAGAAGCTTTAAGCTAAGAGTTGATGACATTAGGTTAAATTAAGTGAAAGTAACTGAAAGTATTGTTTACATCCGGATTGTCAGGCATAATCTTTCTCCTGAATGTTATCTGCTTAGAATCAAATGTTTTCATCTGACTCAGGTCCAGACCTGGAGTTTAGCATGCATGATGGTACCATACGAGACCTGGCTTTCATGGAGGGTCCTGAGAGCGGGGGGTCCATCTTGATCAGTGCCGGTGCTGGAGACTGTAACATATACACAACAGATTGTCAGAGAGGGCAAGGCCTTCATGCACTTAGTGGACACACAGGTAGGTCGTTGTTTTTTCCCCCCATACCCAGTATGGAAGAAACACTGCTTTCAATTCAAAAAGCTTTCATCCTATTTCACCCTAATAGGGCACGTTCTGACTGTGTACACATGGGGAGGTTGGATGATAGCCTCGGGCTCCCAGGACAAAACGGTCCGGTTCTGGGACCTCCGTGTGCCCAGCTGTGTTCGGGTGGTTGGAACGACTCTACATGGATCAGGTGAGTCAAATATTGTTGACACAGATATTTTTATTTTTCCTTCTGAGATCAGCTGTAATTTACAAGTACTGTAGAACGTCAAGCTGGGGTTGTATAAAAAGGTTAACCCATCCATGTCCTGTCAAATTAAACGGCATGAGATACAGCTATTTTTTTTTAGCTCTTGCTCCATATTAAAGCTTTGCAGTAATTTTATATAGTAATCATATAATTTCCATGTAATTACATAACCGTTATTTTTCATTTATGCACTGGAAGTTTGTTTTTGTCACCTAAAGCTGCAAGAGAAAAATAAAAATCATGTCAGACAGGATTTGTACTTTCCCTATCTCTCAGGGAGTGCTGTAGCTTCGGTGGCGGTGGATCCAAGCGGCCGCCTGCTGGCCACCGGTTCCAATGATAAATATGTGAAGGTTTTACCTTTTAACGCAGACAGCTGCAATGCCACAGGTACAGTATACCAGTTTTAGTATTCCTGTTCTCTTTCTACATCTGTGTGTTTTTGCATCTATTATCAGAGATATCCTGTATATTACATGTTTCTTTCTGCTTACTGATTAAAAAGCCAGCTCTAAGAGTTAACTGTAAGGTGTGTGGAAGGAAAATGTG